GTTTTCCTCTTTTGGGGTTTTCCTCTTTTGGGGTTTTCCTGCTCGTTGCAGGGCTGCTGGGAAAACCCTGGTTGAGTTTTCCTCTTGCCCTGTCCCCCCTGCAGCTGGAGAAGAAGGAGGTGTCCGAGGACAAGGAGGACATCGAGGCCAACCTGCTGCGCCCCACCGGGGTGGCCCTGAGGGGGGCCCAGTTCTGCCTCAAGATCTTCAAAGCCGAGGATTTGCCCCAGAGTAGGTGTTTGGGAGCGCCCTGGATCCCCTGGCGTCGCGGCATTCCGGGCAGGAATTCGGGCTCAGGGGATGGAGGGAATTATCCATAGTTTCAGTCCAAAGACCTTCTGGATGTCAACCAGTCGTAACGTGCTGGGAGATGGGTCTGCCACTGGTGCAAACTGGTTTTATCCACCTGGGGAGCTTCTCCCCGATGGAAAAGCTGGTGGGACAGCCAGGAGCAGGAGGATGCTGCTCTGGGAATTCCTTGAGCTTTAGGATCTCCCCCTCCTTCCCAGTGGATGATGCTGTCGTGGACAATGTCCGGCAGATCTTCGGCTTCGAGAGCAACAAGAAGAACCTGGTGGATCCCTTCGTGGAGGTCACCTTTGCTGGCAGGACGGTCAGCGGGGGCTGGGAACGGGCTGGGGGGGAACAAGGGGGGCTCCCTTGGGATCCTGGGAGCTGGGATGGCAGGGGGATAGGCCCTTCTGAGTCCTGGAGCTGGGATGGCAGTGGGACACTCATTCCTGGGTTCCCAGGGCTGGGATGGCAGTGGGACAGTCCCAAGGGCTGGGATGGCAGTGGGATGTCTCCGGGGCTGGGATGGCAGTGGGACAGTCCTTTTCAGATTCCTGGAACTGGGACAAGAGTGGGGTGGTCCCTTTGGGTTCCTGGGGCTGGGATGGCAGTGGGACACTCATTCCTGTGTTTCTGGAGCTGGCATGGCAACAGGGCAGTCCCTCCGAGTCCCTGGGGTTGGGACACCAGTGGGGTTTTCCCTTGGGATCCTCAGGGCTGGGAAGGCAGTGGGGTGTTCCTTTGGGATCCCTGGCACTGGGATAGCAGTGGGACACTCATTCCTGGGTCCCTGGGGCTGGGACACCAGTGGGGTGTTCCTTTGGGATCTTTAGGGCTGGGGTGGCAGTGGGGTGTTCCTTTGGGATCCCCGGGGCTGGGATGGCAGTGGGACGGTCCCACTCAGTTCCCTGGGGCTGGGACACCAGTGGAGTGTTCCCTTGGGATCTCTGGGGCTGGGATGGCAGTGGGAAAGTTCCCCCTGGGTCCTGGAGCTGGGATGGCAGTGGGACAGTCCCTCCTGGCTCCTCGGGGCTGGAATGGCAGTGGGATAATCCTTCCTGGGTTCCCAGGCCTGGGATGGCAGTGGGATAGTCCCTCCTGGTTCCCTGGGACTGAGATGGCAGTGGGACACTCATTCCTGGGTTCCTGGGGCTGGGGTGGCAACAGGACAGTCCCACCCAGTTCCCTGGGGCTGGGACACCAGTGGGGTGTTCCCTTGGGATCTCTGGGGCTGGGATAGCAATGGGACAGTCTCTCCTGGGTCCTGGAGCTGGGATGGCAGTGGGGTGTTCCTTTGGGATCCTCAGGGCTGGGATGGCAGTGGGACAGTCCCACCCAGTTCCCTGGGGCTGGGACACCAGTGGAGTGTTCCCTTGGGATCCTCAGGGCTTGGATGGCAGTGGGGTGTTCCTTTGGGATCCTTGGGGCTGGGATGGCAGTGGAGTGGTGCCTCTAGATCCTTGGGGCTGGGATGGCAGTGGGACAGTCCCAAGGGCTGAGATTAGCAGCAGGATGTCTCTAGGGCTGGGATGGAAGTGGGACAGTCCTTTCCAGATTCCTGGAGCTGGGACAAGGGTGGGGTGGTCCCTCTGGGTTCCCAGAGCTGGGGTGGCAGTGGGATAGTCCCTCCTGGGTCCTTGGGGCTGGGATGGCAGTAGGACAGTCCCACCCAGTTCCCTGGGGCTGGGACACCAGTGGGGTGTTCCTTTGGGATCCTCAGGGCTGGGATGGCAGTGGGGTGTTCCCTGGGGATCTCTGGGGCTGGGATGCCAGTGGGGTCACCCATGGGATAGAGGCGGGATTTTGGGGATCCTGAGGCTTCCCAGCTCCCGGGGTGGTGGGAGCAGCACTGACTGTTCCCTCCTCCATCCCACCCCTCCAGCTCTACTCCAGGATCATGGAGAAAAACGCCAACCCCCAGTGGAACCAGTGCCTGACCCTGCCGGCCATGGTGAGCACTGGTGTCCCCATGGGCACCCTGTCCCCCATCCCAACATCCCTCACCATTCCCTGGTGAGCACTGGTGTCCTCTGGATCCCTGATCCCACCATCCCTCACCATTCCCTGGTGTCCCCAGGACCCCCCTGATCCCACCATCCCTCACCATTCCCTGGTGACCACTGGTGTCCCCCATCCCACCATCCCTCACAATTCCCTGGTGCCCCCAGGACCCCCCACCCCCTGATCCCACCATCCCTCCCCATTCCCTGGTGTCTCCAGGACCCCCCTGATCCCACCATCCCTCACCATTCCCTGGTGAGCACTGTTGTCCCCAGAACCCCCCATCCCCCTGATCCCACCATCCCTCCCCATTCCCTGGTGTCCCCAGGACCTCCCACCCCCCTGATCCCACCATCTCTCACCATTCCCTGGTGAGCACTGGTGTCCCCAGAACCCCCCATCTCCCCCATCCCACCATCCCTCCCCATTCCCTGTTGTCCCCAGGACCCCTGATCCCACCATCCCTCACCATTCCCCATCTCTCTTCCCAGTTCCCTTCCATGTGCGAGCGGATGCGGATCCGTGTGACCGACTGGTGAGCTGGGATGGGCTCCCTGTGCCCGCAGCAGCGGGATGGGGGCACGGAGGGACCCCCCTTTGTGCCAACGTCCCCCTGTCCTGCCCCAGGGACCGCCTGACCCACAACGACGTCGTGGGCACCGCCTTCCTGGCCATGTCCAAGATCTCGGCCCCCGGCGGGGACCTGGAGGGTAAGGGTGGGAAGGGGGGCTGGGATTTGGGATGCATGGCCCTGGAGCAGCTCTGCATGGAGTGGCTGAATTGGGCTGGGATTTGGGATGCATGGCCCTGGAGCAGCTCTGCAGGTTGGTGGTGGCTCGGGGGGGGGTGTCACGGCTGTCACTGTCCCTGCCTGGGTGGGTCACCCTGTCCCGTGTCCCTGTGCTGGGTGGGAACAACCCCTCCAGTTTGGCAGATCTTGGGAGTGCTGGAGGTTTGGATCCTGTTCCTGGTGGTGCCCTGTGGGGTTGGGGACAGTGGTGGTGTCACCGGAGCCATCAGATGCCACATCCCACCGGTGGCTCCTCCCGAGGGGGGATTTGGGGGCTGTCACAGGGTGGGATCCAGATCTCCCAGACCCAACTTGTGCTCTCCTGAGTCCTGGGGGGGTTCCAAGGACCATCAGGTGCTGGCAGGGATGGGTGGGTGACACTGTGACAGGGCTGGGTGACACTGTGACAGGGAAGGGTGGGTGACACTGTGACAGGGAAGGGTGGGTGACACCGTGACAGGGATGCAGGAGGTGACACTGTGGCAGGGATGGGTGGGTGACACTGTGACAGGGGACACCGTGACAGGGATGGGGGGTCGATACTGTGACAGGGATGAGTGGGTGACACTGTGGCAGGGAAGGGTGGGTGACACTGTGACTGGGATGGGCGGGTGACACCGTGACAGGGATGGGGGGGTGACACTGTGACAGGGATTCATGGGTGACACCGTGACAGGGAAGGGCAGGGTGACACTGTGACAGGGATGGGCGGGTGACACTGTGACACGGAAGGGTGGGTGACACCATGACGGGGATGGGGGGTGACACCATGACAGGAATGGGTGACACTGTGACAGGGCTGGGTGACACCGTGACAGGGATGGACAGGGCGACACTGTGACAGGGATGGGTGACACTGTGACAGGGAAGGGTGACACCATGACAGGGATGGGGAGGTGACACAGTGACAGGGATGGGCTGGGTGACACTGTGACAGGGATTCGTGGGTGACACTGACAGGGATGGACAGAGTGACACCGTGACAGGGATGGGCAGGTGACACTGTGACAGGGATGGAGGGGGTGGCACCATGACAGGGATGGGGGGGTGACACTGTGACAGTGAAGGGGTGGTGACACTGTGACAGGGAAGGGTGGGTGACACCGTGACAGGGATGGGGGGTGACACCGTGGCAGGGATGCAGGAGGTGACACTGTTGCAGGGAAGGGTGGGTGACACTGTGACAGGGTGACACTGTGACAGGGATAGGGGGGTGACACCGTTACAGGGATGGGGGGTGACACTGTGACAGGGATGGGGGGGGTGACACCGTGACGGGGATGGGGGGGTGACACCGTGACAGGGATTCATGGGTGACACTGTGACAGGGAAGGTGACACCGTGACAGGGATGGCTGGGTGACACTGTCACCTGTGCCAGTTGGGAGGGCAGGGAGCTGGGGCCCAGTTTTGGGGCTGCTGAGGGCCAGGAGCAGAGCCTACCCCGTCCTGCAGGAGCATGAACTGCTGCCGAGGCCTTGTGGCATCTGGATCCCCCCGGGAATGTCCCACCTGGATCCCCCCGGGAATGTCCCATATGGATCCCCCGGGAATGTCCCATCTGGCTTTGGGCATCTCGGGACCCCCTGCTCCACCAGGAGCATCCACAGGGACATGGGCTGGATGGGCTGGGAACAACCTGGGCTGCTGGAAGGTGTCCCTGGGAGCCCCTGGATGGGCTTTGATGTCCCTTCCAACCCGAGCCATTCCAGGATTCCGTGGATCAGCCCCCAGGACGCGGCCCAGGTGCTCCAGCCCCGTGTCCCCCAGCCCTGCCTGGCTCTGCTTGTGTGTGCCCAGTGTGCCCAGTGTGCCCAGTCCCCTCCTCCCCAGTTCCAGCACGGCTCCTGGGCTGGGCTGGAGAGAGAGAGAGAGAGGCCAGGAGGGAGGTGGGATCCCACCCCGCCGCTGGGATTTGCTTGGGAATGCCAGGGATTGCTCCTCAGGGATGCTCAGATCCCGCTCCACCCCAATCCTACAGCCTTGGACAGGCCTTGGATCAGCCTGGGCTGCTGGAAGGTGTCCCTGGATGGGCTTTAAGGTCCCTTCCACCCCAAACCATTCCATGATTCCACCTCTCCCTTTCCTTCTCTGTCTCTCTCCTGTCTCTCTGTGCTGAATCCCGGGAACACCCACCCTCGTTCCCCGTGCCCTTCCATCCCTTTTCCATGCTCCTCTTCCAGCCTTTCCTGACCTCTCTGCCTTTCTTTGTGCCCCAGATGAGTTTCCTGCTCCCCCGAAGCCCCTGAAGGCCTCAGACCGTACGTCCCCGTCCCGTCCCAGTTTGTCGCCGCTCGGGACTGGTTTTACTGGTTCAGTGTCCGGGCTGGGGGAGGATCAGCTGGGTTCAGTCTGGGCACCCTGGGAGAAGGGAATGGCTCTGGCTTGGCCTCCTCCTGCTCTCTGGGAGCAGGGAAAGGGCTCCCCTGCCCTTTGGGGTGTCCCCGTTGGCACGGGGAGCTCAGGGCAGGGCCCTGCCAGGGATTCCTGCCCAAAATTCCATGAAAAGGGGTGATTCTCTTCGTGGAATGACAGAGCTGGTTAGGTTGGAAAATCCCTGTGATCCAACAAATCCAACCATTCCCCCAGCACTGCCAGGGACACCCCTGGCCACGTCCCCAAGTGTCACATCCACAGGGTGTTAAATCCCCCGGGAATGGGGACTCCCCCTGCCCTGGGCAGCTGTGCCAGGGCTGGACAACCCTTTCCAGGAAGGAATTTTCCCAATATCCAACCCCAGCTCACCCCTAGCGCCGCTTGAGGCCGTTTCCTTTCATCCTGTCATTCCTACTCTTGTCCAAGCCCCCTCTTTTACTGTCCCCCCTTCCCTGGAGACCCTTCCCGGGGCTGGGAATTCCCGTTTTTCCCGGGACACAGCCCCATTCCCGCCCTGTGTGTGTCCTGCCCTGCGGTGAGCACTCGCAGGGCTCCGATTTGGGTTCAAACCGCAGCATTTTGGTGCCTCCAGCCCCCCCTCGGGTGGGAGGACACGGCCCTGAGGCACCTCCAGGAATCCCTGCTGGCTCTGATGGATCTTCTCCCTGCCATTCCCAGTGGATGACGGGCTCGGATTCCTGCCGACCTTCGGCCCCTGCTACATCAACCTCTACGGGAGCCCCCGGGAATTCACGGGATTCCCCGATCCCTACGAGACCCTCAACCTGGGAAAGGTGACGTCGGATTCTCTCCGGCCCCGACTAAACCCGGCAGCTCCTCCTGCCCAACCCGGCTGCTCTAACCCCACCCTGCCTCTGGCAGAGGGATCCTGCTCTGGCTCCTGCTATTCCTTGGCTATTCCCGCTGCCTCCGACCTCCCGGCTCCGCTCCCAGAACTTTCCGCCCGGGAAGCACTTCCTGAAGCTTCTTTGCTGCTCTTTTCTCCTCCGCCACGGAGCTCCCGGAAAAACCCAAAGGCAGAGCTGATCCCTTGGGGATGGAACCCTGGGATCCTGATGCTTCTCCCTGCTCTGTCCCCAAGGGAGAAGGAGTCGCCTACCGTGGCAGGGTGCTGGTGGAGCTGGAGACCAAACTGGTGGAGCACCTGGAGCAGAAGGTGGAGGAGATTCCCGCGGATGACGTCCTGAGGGTGGAGGTAACGGGATCTCCGGGGGGATTCCGGGGAGTGTCCGACCCCCTGGGAACGTGGGACACTCTGGAAGGGGTGTGGGGGTTGCTCCTGTGGTTGGGGAGCTCCTGGAGGTGCCTCTTGCTGGGTTCCATTCCAAGGGTTGATCCGTCCGAGGTCGCGCGTGGTGTGAGCTGACCACGGGGAACAGGGAATCAGGGAATGCTTTGGGTTGGGAGGGGCCGGAAAAGTCACCCAGTTCCACGGGCAGGGACACCTTCCACCAGCCCAGGTGGCTCCAACCTGGCCTTGGACACTTCCAGGGATCCAGGGGCAGCCACAGCTTCTCTGGGAAATCCATTCCAGGGCCTCCCCATTCTCACAGCCAGAGATTTCATCCCAAAATCCACTTTTCCAGTCTGAAGCCATTCCCTGTGTCCTGTCCCTCCATGCCTTGTCCCCAGTCCCTCTCCAGCTCTCCTGGAGCCCCTTCAGGCCCTGGAAGGTCTCATGGAGCGTTGGCAGGTTTGCCTCCACTCCGGTGCCCTCCCAGATTTGCTCCTTTTCCTCATTTTTCACCTTCCAGCTGCGTTTTCCCTGAGAAGCTCTGGCCTTCTCCTCATTTTCCTAAATATCTCCCCCAAAACTTCTGTGCTGCAAAGTGTGTTTTTCTCCCCCCTGCAATGGAATTCCCATCTCAGAGGCCTCTCTGGGCTATGTGTGCTGGGGCACTGAAGGGTCCCTGAATCCCAGGATCCCTGAGGTTGGAAAAGCCCTCCCAGCCCATGGATCCCCCCTGTGCCCGATGCCCCCCTTGGCACTGAGTGCCACGGCCAGGCCTTCCTGGGACACCTCCAGGGCTGGGCACTCCAAACCTCCCTGGGCAGCCCCTGCCAAGGCCTCACCACCCTTTCCAGGAGGAAATTCCTCCTGATGTCCAACCTGAACCTCCCCTGGTGCAACTTGAGGCCGTTCCCTCTTATCTTGTCACTTGTTTTTTTGGGAAAAGAGCCCCCCCGGCTCCCCTCTCCTGTCAGGGAGTTGCAGAGCCAGAAGGTCCCCCCTGAGCCTCCTTTTCTCCAGGCTGAGCCCCCCCAGCTCCCTCAGCTGCTCCTGCTGCTCCAGCCCCTTCCCAGCTCCCTTCCCTTCCCTGCTCCAGCTCAAATTGTCTCCATTCCCACCCGGAAGCTGCTGGATGGAAATGACCTGGAGCAATGATGGAATCAGGGAATGGTTTAGGATGGAAAAGCCCTCCAAGCTCGTGGAGGCCAACCATCCCCAGCACTGGGTGCCAGTTCCACCACCAAGTGCCACATCCACAGGGCTTGGAAATCCCTCCAGGGCTGGGGACTCCACCCTGTGCCAGGGCTGGACAGCCCTTTCCAGGAGGAAATTTTCCCAATATCCATTTTAAACTTCTCCTGGCGTAACTTGAGGCCGTTCCCTCTCCTCCTGTCCCCTGTTCCCTGGGAGCAGAGCCCGAATCCTTCCCAGCTCCCCCCTCCTGTCAGGGGGTTGCAGAGCCAGAAGGTCCC